TTTTGGAAAGGGGCAGGTCAGATTACTTCTAAGGACTGAGAGATAGCCAACTAATTCCAAACAGCTCCAACCTGGCAGAGCTGGCTTCAACTGGCTTGGATCCGGTTTGAGTCAGTTGGATCTGGTTTGAGCTGGTTAAAGTTGGTTCAAACTGGTAGATCTGGTTAGATCAGGATAGAACTGCCTGCAGCCAATTTGAGCCAGTTGGATCCTGTTCAGGCTGGTTGGAGCAGTTCAGAGCTGGTTGGATCCAGTTGGAGCTGGTTACACCCAGATCCAGCCAGTTGTAGCCAGGTTGAGTATGGTTTGAGTTGGATCAGGATATTTCCAAGTGGTTGGATCTGGTTGGTACCAGTTTGAGCCTATGGTTCCAGTTGGAGCAGTTCTAGCCAGTTCCAGCTGGCTATAACCAGGTGTAGCCAGTGGAATCTGGTTTAAGCTGGTTTGAGCTAGTTACAGTCAGTTGGATATAGTTGGAGTCTGTTTGATCTGGTTGGATGGTGTTCAGGTCAGTTGGAGCCATTTGGAGCCCGTTCCAACCATTTGGAGCCTGTTGGAGCCATTTGGATCAGGATACACTTGGTTCCAGCTGGCTGCAGCCCATTATAGCTTATTCCAGCTGGTTGGAACCAGTTGAATCAGCATGGAGCAGGTTCAAATTGGTCATAGCTGGTTGTAGCCTATTGGATCTGGTTTACTTGATTGGTGAAGGCTGGAGGCATTTGGAGTCATTTAGAATTGGTTATACCAGGTTCAAGCTGATGGGCGTCTGTTGGAGCTGGTTGGATCTAGCTTGAACCAGTTAGATCCAGTTTGAGCCAGTTGGTGCCAGTTGGACCTGGCTGGATCTGGTTGGACACAGTGCAGAGAAGCTGGATCTGGTCAGACCAGCTGTAGCCATTTGGAGCTGGTTGAAGTTGGTTGTAGCCAGTGGGTGCTGGTTGGAACCAGTTGGAGCCAGCTGAGTGGAGTTAGACAGGAAGAAGCCGTGTGAACTGGGTGAGGACTAGGTGAGGAAAAATTTTTCTCCTCAAGCCAAAAATTTCAGTAGCTGCCCAAATTCTCAATCAAGATAAATAATATTTGAATGTCAGTAGTAATTTTCATCTCTCTGCCCTAAGTTCCAGTTTGGCCTAGCTCTGTTACTGACCCCGTCTTCAAAAACAGAAGATTGTATTGATTAATCACTGATTTAAACACTATATAAATTTTAGGCACACAGCTTCACATCTCTGTGTGTGTGTGAGCCTCACCTCACTACCACCAAAGTTCTGGTGACCTGCTACTCTCAGCTGGACACACTCCCTCCCTCTGCCTCCTACTCCTCCCCCTCAGGTAACCGCTTGCCCTGCAACCATCCCAACCTGGCAGGTTCATCATCAGTTCAGGCAGCTTGAAAGAGAAGCTTGGAGCCCTTGGCATCATCCCCACAAGTCTTCTAATAGTGCACAGGGGAAACAAGCCAGCGGGGAGACAGCAACTTAGCCCCCCTGCGAAGTTTTAGACGCCCTTTCCTCCCTTAGCCATTCTCCACCACTCTCCATTGTGCCCCCCGCCTCTGTGACACCACCCTTATATGCTCAGTCTCTCAGCTCAGGCGTGCCCACTCACACATGCCCACGCCATACTCCAGGTGTCCACCATCAGGCACGCGCACCCCAAGCGCCTCCTGCAGTCAAGGTTGCAGGTGATGACCACAGAGGCCAAGGCGCCAAAGCCTGAGCAATCTTCACCTACCCCACACCACCTCATATTTTCTACAGTCTAAGAGTTCTTTTTGTTATTTATTGCTTCCTTTCCTCTGGTTATATCTATTCCACACATGAGAGAAACTATCTGGTAATAGTCTTTCGATTTCTGACTTACTTCACTTGGCTACGTTCCAGCCATGTTGTGGTAAAAGGCAAAATTTCCTCGTTGTTAGCAGTAGTAGTAGTAGCCCGCGGAGGAGATACACAGCATCTTACCCAGTCATCTGTCAGTGGGCATTTAGGTTTTTCCCAGATCTCAGCAGTTGTGAATAATATGGTTATAACCATAGGGGCACATAAATCTTTTCCAATTCGTGTTCTCATATTCTCTGGATAAATATCTAGAAGTGGTGGGGCTGGGTTAAATGCTTTATATTTTTAGTTTTTTAAAATCAGTTTTTGATATTTTGTTCATGATGAATTTTTTGGCATTTAGTATTTTCAAAAATTTGCATTAGAATATTATATACCTTGACTAAATTTTGCACACAAGGTGAATGTCTGCTCTCCTAACCCTAGTCCGTGAGGGAGGCTGCACCTGGAGACCGTGGTGGGCTGCCAGAGTTGGCAGCACGTGGCCCTGGCTCCAGCCTAACCTTGCAGCTTACTCCCCAGGGACTCCAACAAGCCCTGACTCTCTCCCCACCTGATTTTCCTGCCGTGAAATAGCTGAGAGTTTCCAGATCTGTGATTGTGAGTCTGAAGTTCTATGGTAAATTTTGCAGACTGTGAGAAAATGGTTCGAGCTGGCCAGTGGAATTCAAGAGAGCCCCCCACCATTCAAAGGATAGGCCCCCAGGAAGAAAGAGTAGGGGGGCAAGGTGGTAATGTGGAGAGTAACCCTCCCGTAAGATTCACTAGCCCAGAGTGTGGTGAGATGTGCAGAGCTCTGCCCTCACCGGGTACCCATGTCCTGCAGGCAGGAAAGGGCTGGTTACAGTGCCCCCTTCCCAGCTCTCCACATGTTTGTTTTTTTAAAGATTTATTTATTTATGAATACAAGAGCTGGGGTACAGGCCAGATGCGTGGGAGGGTGAGAGGATTCACCAGAGCCAGAGCAGGGAGCAGAACAGGCAGACTGACTGAAATACACTGCTGAAGGGAGCAGCGGGCGAGTCAGGAGAGGTCTGCTGTGCTATGTGGGTAGCTCCCTGGCCAGCACTGCAGAGGCTGCAGACAGCTTCACAGCACTGCACTCAACCACCTGCGCCACCAGGGAGGTCCTCCACACGTTTTTTTTACCCTCTTGAAAATCGAATCCCTGGAGAAAGAACTGCCTCTCCTACAACCCATGACTAAATAAAATCACCAAGTTCAAATCAATCAACATGACCTGTTGGGTGCTTATTGTGACCCGAGACACATTATGGTTCCTTAGTTTATTCAGCACGTCTGAGTGCAGTGAGCACGTCCCTGCCCGTGTGCTGCTTGTGTGCTGCTTCCTTCCACACTCTGTGCCATGTCAGCCTGGGCAAGGGGACTGCACCTGTCTTCACAGGTGAGGTGACCAAGGAACAGAGTGGTCAAGTAACCTGCCCACGGCCACACAGGGAGACCAGACCCCAGGTCTCTTTCGACTCTAAATTTGTGGGAGGAGCCTCCCTGGAAGCATAGGGGTTAAATCTCAGTGCTATCACCATAACAGTCTGCATTCGATCCCGGCCAGGGAGCTACCCACATGGTGCAGCAGATCTCTCCCATCTCGCCCGCTGCTCCCCTCAGCAGTGTATTTCAGTCAGTCTGCCTGTTCTGTTCCCCGCTCTGTCTCTGGTGAATCTTCTCACCCCCTGCACCTCTGGCCTACACCCCAGTTCTTACATAAATACATAAAAATAAAATTTTTTTTATAAGTAAATTCTATTAAACTTTTTTTTTAATAATAAATTTTATTTTTATATTCCCCCATACAACTGCACATGCCCCATTCTGACCCCAATCCCTCCCCTCCCGGCCCCCACCCCCCAATAAGTGTCTCTGGTTCATAGTTTTTTGTTGATTTTGATTTTCACTTTCTTATAGTTATTCATTTTCCTGGTCCCTTATTTAAGTTTTCTAGATTCCTGCTATGAGTGAGACCATCCGGTATTTTTCTTTTTCTTTCTGGCTTATTTCGCTGAGCATGATCCCTTCCAGCGCCATCCATGTTGCTGCAAATGGCATGTGTTTATCTTTTTTGAATGCTGAGTAATATTCCATGGTGTATATGTACCACATCTTCTTGATCCAGTCATCTATTTTTGGGCATTTGGGTTGTTTCCAAAGCTTAGCTATTGTAAACAGTGCTGCTATAAACATAGGGGTGCAGGTGCTCTTTGGAATTGATGTTTCTGTGTCCTTTGGGTAAATACCTAGGAGTGGAATTGCTGGATTATAAAAATAAATTTTTAAGAATAAATTCATGGGGAGGGTGGTGGCCTCATGAGAAGGGACACAGAAGATGTTGGGGAAAGGGCAGTCCTCTGGGTGTGGGGCCCACACCGTTCTCTTCACAAGTGGGCTGAAGGTCTGGAATCAGAATGACAGGGAGCTGGTGAGCTTAAGGGGCAGAAGTCCCCCCTGGAGTACACAGTCCTACCCCAGCCACATCCAACCCTACACCTCTCTGGGCCTTGGTTTCCTCATCTGCACAGGGACAGCCACACCAGCCTGAGGGGAGAGAGTTAAGGGCCATCATGATGGAAAGTGCTTGGTAAGCCGTGAGGCCCAATTTGTAGTGACTGGTAATTGAAGTAGTTCATCAAACAAGAGGCTGTCAGTGCCTCCAACTGGGGAGGGAGGCAGGCAAGTGTGCTCACAAGGGTCAGTGAGCCTGAGGTGCCAGGGGCGGGTGGAAGGACATGCCTGAGTATGTATGTGTGAGTGTGTGAATGAGTGTATATGAGTGTGCATAAATGAGAGTGTGCATGGGGGTGTGTGTGTATGAGACAGAGAGAGAGACAGAGAGTGAGAGAGCGTGTATGGTGGGACACAGCCAGGCTATGCTCGAGGTCCCATGGACTGGAGGCGGCTTCCTCAAGCAGCATCCCTTCCAAGGACCCAGCCCCAAGCACAGCACTTACCTCTTCCTGGAACCTGGGCTCCTGCTGGCTCCAGCTTCTCTGCGGTTCCAGGCCAAGAGGACAGGAGGGGAGGGAGACTGGGGAGGTGTATCTGGGAGAGATATGTGAAGGGAAGGGCAGGGAGACAGGAAGCTGCAGGCCAGACTGCTCAGTGCAGCCTCACTGTGTCCTTGCCTCCCTGTGCCCACAGGCCCTTCTCCTCCTGGGGCTGAACCCCGTGTCTGCCTCCCCCCAGGACCAGCATTGTGAGAGCCTGTCCCTGGCCAGCAACTTCTCAGGTGAGTACCTCTACCCCCTCTTCAGGATTCCAGGTCACCACAGCCCACACCCCCTGGTCTCTTGGGCCCTCACCAGAGCCCTGAGGCAGGAGCCCCAGAGAGATTTCCTCTCCAGGTCTCTAGTGAGTCATCAAGTTTCCTTGGAGTGCCAGTGTGGAGAGAAGACTCCTGAGGGTGTGTGTGAGGCGGGGAGGGAGTTGTGATTAGGTCCCACGACATGGGGGACATGTGGCAAGTGTGCCACGCAGTTGTCTTCCCTCCTCTTTGGGGGGCATCATCAGGACAGAGGCCTGGCTGGGGCTAGGAACATCAGCCAGGAAGCAAGGCCCTTCTCTGCCACTAAAAGTGCCTGAGGGGCCTCCCTGGTAGTGCAAGGGGTTAACTGCCAATACTATGAAGCTATCCGCAGTCACTGCAGCAGGAGTTCGATCCCCAGCCAGGGAGCTGCACACGTCACAGCAGACTCTCCTGTCTGCCCGCTGCTCCCCTCAGTGTGTTTCAGTAGATGCACCTGTTCTGTTCCCTACTCTGTGTCTGGTGAATCTTCTCACCCCCACACCCACACCTCTGGCCTGCACCCCAGCTCTTGTATGCATAAATAAATCTTTTTAAAAAAAAAGTGCTCGAGGCCTAGCTTGTTATGCCAACTCTGTGCCAGGCACTGTCAGAAGCAATTCTTCACCATGGTATTCTGAATGAGAGTAATTTTGCCCTCATTTTACACACAAGGAAACTGAGGCACAGAGAACTAATAAGCACGTGAGCTCTGGCTTCTGTGTGTTGGATCCCATACAAGGAGGGGGTAATGGAGGCAACTAGGGGTTCACAGTCTGATCCTGGAGTCAAATCCACAGCACACATTTTCTGAGGCAGAGCCAAGGTGTGCTGGCAGGTGGGGTCATGGTGTCCAGCAGGGAAGGCAGAGGCCCGGTCTCTGAAGCTGGATCGTGGGGAGAAGCTGTTTCTTAACTTAGAGCAGCTGCCACCAGACCTGCTGTTCCTTCAGTAGGGGGCCCTCAGGGAGTGGACAGAACCCTGGACTTGGAGAAGGCCAACTGTGTTCCCACCTCATAGCAACGCCTAAGTTTGTCCTGGCTGGGCAGGGAGGGGGCACAGAGATGAACATGCCATTGACTCCATGAGCCTCAGTTTGCCCACTTGTAAAGTTGGGGTGGGAGGTAAGGATGATACCTGTCTCAAGGATATGTTGTGATTAAATGCACTAAGTTTTGCAGCAACGTTTCACAAACTATAGAGTGCAATACCCCTGCTGGGTGTTATTTATTAATGACATTAACTTCAGCAGGCTTTAAAAATGCTTTTCATGGGCCTCCCTGGTGGCGCAAGGGGTTAAGTACCACACTATGAAGCTGTCCGCAGCCTCTGCAGCACGAGTTCAATCCCTGGCCAGCCAGGGAGCAACCCACATGGTGCAGCCGACCTTTCCTGCCTCACCCACTGCTCCCCTCAGCAGTGTATTTCAGTTCCCCACTCTGTCTCTGGTGAATCCTCTCACCGCCCCCCACCCCTGCATCTCTGGCCTGTACCCCAGCTGTTGTATGCGTAAATAAATAAATCTTAAAAAAAAATGCTTTTCATATATCTGGAAGGAGTGGAAGGCATTTGCCAGGAGTTGCTTGCTACAATGCAAGTGGCAGGGAGCTAGAGCAGGGGAGTGTGGCTTCAGGAAGGCTTCTTGAAAGAGCAGATTTCAAGGTGTGTCTCTGAGAGACGCTGAATGTGAGTGGGCAAAGAGCCAAAGCTAGAGGACCAGCAGGTGGAAGGACAGGGAAGGGGTGAGGAGGGAGGTGCAGAGACTGGGGAGGGAGTGGCTGCAAAGTTGGCTAAGCTGGGTTATAGAGGCCTAGGATGTCCTGGGGAAGTCTGGACTTCTAGCAGAGAGCGCTTGGGAGGTAAAAGTCCCGCTCAGAAGCTGGGCCTGAGATGAAAGGCCCAGCCCTGGGACCAGGTCAGGCTCCATTAACTCTCCATCTGTGCTTGGGAGGAGTGACATCCCTAAGTCCAAGTAGGTATCACCTGTCCTTGGAGGCAACAGGTCTTGATGGATGGTGTTCATTCCCCTGCCCCAGTCTGGCCCAGCCTGCCTGACTTTGTGGCACACCATCCATCACCCCCACGGCAGCCTCTGATAACAGGCTATTTGTTTCTGACACCGAGACCTACCCAGACCGATGGGCACTGGTGGAGACAGATGGCAAGGGTGGGGACGAGACCGGCCAGATGGATGGGTGTCTGGCCGGGGTGGCTGGCACTGAGTCAGAGCCTTTGGGGCCCTCTCACATGCCTGGTGCCAGGAGCAGGGTGAGGGTGGGTCTCCAGGGCCTCAGCCCCATCACGTGGCAGATCACAGACTTGGCAATTCATAAAATCATGGCATGAATATGACAAGATAACATTGACAATATGACAATATTCATATGTCAATTGTCATATGATAATATTCATATTGATAATATGAATATAGCAATAAATTCATTAATTTATTCATGGAACTACGGATTAATGATATCACAGACAAATAGAATCATTGTTGAGAAGGACCAGGGGTCATCAGTTCTGTCTTTAGGTGGTGAACGATAATAATAATTAATGATAGCTGCTATTTATTTAGTACCTTAGACCCCATTCTTAATATCATAATCACTCAATCATCAAAACAATATTGTCCCAAAATATTTTATAGAAGCCAAAGGAAAGATCAGAGAGGTTAAGTAACTTGCCTAAGCACACAGTTTCTAAGCAGCAGCCCAAGATTTGAACTAAGTGGGCCTGATTCCAGACTTTCCCACCACATTATGTGACCAGCCAGAGACCACCCAGGTGCCCAGGGTCCAGTGTGGTCACTCATCCGGGTGCAGAGTCACCTCTGCAGTTTCCTCTACCCTGGTTGGGTTTGCACACAGCCCCCAATTTTCCTCAGGACCTACTATGTGCCTGGCACTGCACTAGATGTTGGGAATGCAATAATAAAGCCCATATACCCATAGGACAGGAAGCCCACCCACTTGTCCCGATGAATCACATAACCTACAAAGACATCATTCTTTTCTACCAAAAGAGGCACCTGAGCCACAAAGTAGTCACCCAAAGAGGAGGACTCTGCCTGCCCTCTGCCACCCTTCCCGTGCCAGGTGGCTTTGGAGGTAGCAGAGCCCTGCCCATTCATGCCAGCAGCACCTTCCTCTGAATGGGTGAGCATGTGTGTTCCAGGGACTGCTCTTGAGCCACCTGGCAGCTCCTGCTCGGGGCAGCCTTGGCTGAGTCCTTCCCCTGGGCTTAAACCAAACAAGGGAAGAGGCTTCCTAGTCACAGGGCAGCTGCCGAGGGCCCAACTACTCCAGCTCACTCAGAAGCCCCTGATAGGAGACCTGACATAGCCGAAACAGGAGCCAGCCTCCAATCTCCCTCTGAAGTTATCCACCACAGAGGAACTGTTAAGTGCTTTTGGACAATGTACCGAACCAGAAAGAACGATGTCGTCTACCAGGGGGAAGAAACCAGTGCCCAATTGCGCACAAGCATTAAATAGGCCATCTTCAAAGGGTTCTTATCTGTTTGTTAAAGCTGGGCCCCCAACCAGCAGGGTCTTTTTCCCAGGCCAGTGGGAACCCTCAAAGCCACTCCTCCAGTCTCAAAAATTTGGGGCAACCTGACCACAGTGTGCCCACGAGCAATCCTAGCGTGGGTTTCTGCACATTTGCTCTGCATATATGGGGCAGGAGGATGATACAGGACCAGTTTAATGTGTTACTGAACCTGCTTGACTCTAACCCCACCCCCAAGAAAGACCCTGAGCCATAGAAATGTCCTTACCGAGCTCACACCTGCCTCCCAGCCTTTGCACCCGCTGGTCCCTCTGCCTAGAGCACTCTTCCCCTGGGTTTCACACGCTCCCTCCCTCACCTGTTAGGTCTCTGCTGAAAGCTTAGTCTTTAGAGACCGCCAAATTAAAGAGGTAATCCCACTGGTCTGTATCTCCTTACCGGCTTACTTTTTCCCCATAGCATTTCTTACAGGTTAATGGATGTGTCTGTCTGTTTGTTTACCGTTCCTCCACCCCGCCAAGGGCAGGGCATTTATTATATTCATTACTGTATCCCAGCTCCTAAGAACAGGCACTGCATCCCCAACTCCCAGAAAACTTCTTAGGTGGTTAGTACAACCATGTTGAATAAAGAGCAGTCATTACTCTTCCCCACCTACAACTTCATTGACCAGGTGGGGACCCAGGGCTGTGGGAGGGGGTGCCTCCTAATAGCTCAGGCTTTGTGCTGCGACTGGTAAGTCTGTCTGGCTAGTTGCAAGCCTATCTTACCTGGTCCAAACCACTCCTCCAGATGATGTCCAGATCAGGGAAAACAAAAAACAAATGCCCAGGAGAGCAGGAGCAGTTGGCCACAAGTGCCAGTAGGACGGAGGCAACGCTGGCCCAGGAACCTGCATCTAAGAGTCCTGACAGCCAGTCCTATAGCACCCAGGCTGAGTGGCATGGACACTGCCTGCCCTGCCCCCTCCCGGTCCCAGCTAGGTCATCCACTCCCTCCCCACGCCCACACCCCTGAAATGATTTTTCTCTGCACCTTGCCCTGGCTTTTCTGCTTCTCCCTGTTTTATTCTCAGCGTCTTACTTCCTTCTAGTTCCTCTCTCTTCTTGAACACTTGGCTTTCCCCCACTCCCAGCCCCCCCTCTTTTCTTCTGGAAGAGCGGCTGAGTGGATTGATTGAGTGGTCTGAGTATGGTAATATAAAGTGCCCTCCCTTCGCCTGGATAAAGCAGTGTCTGACAAATGCTGGTTTCCTCCCTCTCCTTCCAAGTCCTATATATACCCTTCCCCGTAGGAGGCCCGGTCTCTGAGCCTCTGCCAGATCCCCGGAGACCAGGTGTCCTGGCATGATGAACTGACGTCCTGTCCCGGAGCGTCCAGCTGCCATGGAGACGGACACGTTGCCGGAAGCGGGGGTCGGGCCTAGAGGCAGTCGGGCCTCCCCGCTCCCCTCCACCGCCGGGTCCCCTCACTTCCGCCACTCTTCCTTTACTCCTCTTTCCCTCCCTGTCTTTTCCTTCTCGGAGTGCTCCCTCAAACCTCACAGCCACCCCACTACTGAGCCTCCAAGCCTAGCTCCTGGCTGAGCCCGGCCCTAGCTCCTGATTGGCCCGTCCAGCTCTGGCCACGCCCCCTTTGGCTCCACCCCTCCCGCCCCGCCCACCGGGCTCTCCACCCCCTGGGGGGCCTGGGGCTATTGTTATTAGCCATTTTTATTTATATTTATTCCTGAGGAGGGGGGAGTGACCTCCTGAACCCCTGTCTTTTAGACTTCTCTTTGTTCTTGGGGCCTCTCCCGCCCTTTCTTCCCGTGTCTTTCACAGATTTTCATCCTTCCAGGATTTTCTGGGCATTCAAAACCCACTCTGCCTCTCAGTGTCCATAGAAGTTAACAGTTTGGCTGCTTGGGCCTCAGTTTCCTTATCTGTGAAACACAGAATTAGCGCCCATTTTAGCAGGTGGTGTGAGACCCATAGTAGGTACCGGGGATCCCGGACCAGCTGTGGGTGGGTCACCGCTCTGGAGGGCCTGGGAGACCTGGTCCTGGCTCAGCGGTCAGCCCTGCCCTGGCTCTGGCGGGTCCTCACTGTGCCTGGTGCCAGGCCCTGCCCTGCCCTCTGTGCCTAGCTGAGCTGGCTCTGGGGAACTGTCCAGGGCAGGAGACAGGGAGAGGGGGAAGCAGGTTTACATGGACCAAGAGGAATGTCAGGCAAGTTCCAGGTGCTGCCACACATGATATCCCATCTAGTGTCGCAGCGCCTGCTCAGGAGAGGTTGTGAGGGAACCAGTGAGTGAGTGAGTGACCTACAGATGTCATTAAATGAGATGCTATATATATATATATATATATATATATATATATATATATATATATGTATGTAAAGCCCCTGGCATGTGCCTCACAGTCCTCAATAAATGCTGCTCCCTTTGCTGCCTCCTTGGCTAACCCTCTCCCTGCGTTGGCATGAAATGTAGTTTAATAGAAAGAGCTCTCAATTTGGAGTCCAAAACCCCTGGCTATGGGTTTTGGTTCTTTTACTCCTTGAGTCATGACCTGGACACGTCACTTAACTTCTCCAGGCTTCAGTTTCCTCATCTCTAAAAAGGGAACAATGACACTACAGGCTGGATGAGGATCAAATAAAATATGCGAAGAAGAGCTTTGCAAAAACAGAGCATGGTCCATAATATGATCTCCCTCTCCCAACCTGGGCTCCTGCTTCTCCCCTCCCCCAGGCTCAGCACTCCCAGGGACAGAGTAAAATCTCCACTGGCGGCCTTGCCACATGTGCTCCCCTCCCTCCTCCAGCACCATCCCGTGATGCCATTCACCGAGACTCTGCTGCGGCACAGGCCAGGACCTGCTCCACCCCAGCCGCCTGGCCTGGCGTCTCGGGCCCATTAAGCCCCAATCCAGATTCCTTACTCTTTCAATTAAATCACTTGGCATCAAGGTCTCTCTGCCCCTTGAGCCATGATTTGCACAAACAACCCATGAATAGTTTTGATTAGAAAGAAAACCAGCATTGGTAAAAGTGCAGCTCAGAGCAGCCCTGCATCTAGCAGGGAAAGGAAGCCAGTTTAACCCAGCACTGTTTCCGGACAGACTGGGGACAGGCTAATCTGGGGAAAGCGTGGCCAGGCCCCAGCTAGGGCTTGGCAGCCACTGATGGCCCCTCACCCCCACTGGTTCATGGCTGTCCCTGGCTTGTCTGTGCATTCTGTGCCAGTCCACGGTTATTAACCCTCTCCCTCCATGATGGGCTCGCGGGGTCTCAACAGCCATGGCGGACCAGACTTGAGCAGGAATGGATGTGGAGAGCCAGGAAAGTATCAGGAGCCCCCCACCCTTTGGAGACCAATAACTACCCCTCTCCTCCTAAAGTGTCCCAGCGTTCTTAATGCTGCAGCCCACACGCATGCGCGCACACACGCACCACCCACCCCCCAAGGAGCTCTTTAAGGACAAAGATTTGGAAGGAGATTTGACATTTTCTCTCTAGTTCACAAACTCCTTTTGAGAACCTTAGGGAAACTGTAGGCTCTTCTCCCAATTTTAAACTATATGTATAGACCCAAATTTTTTTCATTTAATTCCAGTGTCTTTATAAATCCTTAAAGCTTCTAGTGGACTGAGGTGAAGAATTTCTAATCTTCCAATTATTTCATTTCATTATAGAGAGAGATCCTAAAGCTTAGAGGGGGCCCGTGGTCACACAGCAAATTAGTAGCGGAGCCCAGTCTCAGGCTAGGATTCCAGACTCCTGGTTCAGTGTCCATTTCACTTGCCCAGATGGTGGCTTTTCTCCCCATGGTGCGCTTCTCCATCGGTCCCCTCCTAGGGTCCAGCACAGACCAAACAGGGTAAGTTCGGTCAATGCACTTATCAGGCCAGCTGGAAGCTGGAGCAACTTCATTTAGCTAGTTCCTCCCTGCAGGGCCAGCGCAGATGTGATTTGGCTCCAGAGACATATGAAGGGACAGGGTCAGGGGTTGGCTAGGACTATTCCAGGCTGTTCCAGGCTGTGTAGTCTCAGAGCACCAATCCACACCAAGTGAAGTGTCCTCGCGCTTCAGATTAGGAGCCTGGAGCATGTCCAGCCTTCCTCTAAATGCCAGCCAGGACCTCAGCTTTTAGCACAGCTTTAACTGTCTCCGTTCCTCCTCTGCTCTGCAATCCACACTGGCTCCCCAGTGCCACAGCGCTAGGTGCTGTGTCTCCTCTGAGCAGGACGAGCTCGTCTGAGCCTGGTCATTGTTCCTGACCTGTCCCCACTGGGTATGTGAGCGGGCCCTGGGGAGGCGGGTGGGACACTGGTGTGGGGATCTGGCTCTGCCTCACTAGCTGTCTCTGCCCCCAGGACTGCAGTGCAATGCATCCGTGGACCTCATCGGCACCTGCTGGCCCCAGAGCCCTGCGGGGCAGCTGGTGGTTCGACCCTGCCCTGCCTATTTCTACGGTGTCCGCTATAATACCACAAGTAAGTGTGTGCCTGGGTCAGGGAGGTGAGACAGGATGGGGAGACCTGGGACTTTTGGGGGGCAGGGAAATGACAATGATGGCGACAAAGTAATAACAATACATTTCGTGGGCACCATTTGCCAAAGGCCAGCTCCCTTCCCTGATGGGCACTCTGTTCAGTCTGTGGATTCTCACGACACCCCGGAAAGACACTGTATATCACCGGCTAGGGCTCATGATAGAACTCAGGCCTCCGGGCTAAGACAGGTCAGGAAACTTCCCCAAGGTCACCAGCTGCTAAGAGGAGAGGTTGGAATTTGCATCGAGGTCTGTCTAACACTCTTTCTTGGCACATGGTGCTAGCTTGAGCCCAGCCAACCCCGGGAGGAAAGGCAGGACTCAGCAGCCCCAATTTTGTGGATAAGAACCCTGAGTTCAGAGAGGTCACCGGGACTGCCCAGGGCCCTCCTGCCATGAGGTGGGGACTGTTTTAGACCCACAGGTAGTGAGTGTCTTGCACACAGGCCCACATAGGGGGTGGCAGTGGGGGAGGACTGATCCAGGGTCTGTTCTGACACTTGATCCCCATGTAAACATCTCCCTCCCCTGAGGGCCCCCAGGCCCTGAGATCCACCTCCTGGCTTTGCAGCTCCTTGCTATCCCACCTGTTACCCTCCAAATTAATTTGCTTTCACCTGTCAATGACTCACACCCCTGCTTATCAAGAGAGCAACAACTGCAGCCCAGGGGCCCTGACCTGTCTGGGGGTGAGGGGGGGCTCTTGAGTGAGCCCTTAGTCTGAAGGGCCTGAGCTCAACACCCCGAGAGGGAATTGAGGGGGACCACAGACATTGGGTAGTTGACTCAGATTGCTGCAGGACCTTCACACAGCCCCCCTCTTTTCTGGCCCTCTGGGCCCTTAGGCCTGCTCGCTGGAGATCCAGGCTGGTGACCTGCCTTCTAAGGCTTCATCCTCCCGCTCAAACCTCCCCAGTCCCTTCTCCCACCTCTTCCTCCTTTACCAGATGGGCTAAGGGGGACAGCGCTGGGGCTTGCAGTCAAGGAGGGGTGGGAGGCCAGGAGGCTGGAACCACCACCCACGCCTGTGACCCAGGAGGAGAAGAGGTTGGGGGGAGGTACCTAAAGGAGAGTTTGGGGTGCACGGCCGACCAGCTTCCAATTTAGCAGGGTCTACTTTACAACTAGAATATGGAAGCCTAGAGGCTGATCATTGTCCAAGGTTGCGGAGCCTGGAGTCAGGGCTGCTCCACCCTCAACGCCGTGTGCTAGTCCTTCTGGAGCTCCCAGGGAGGCTGGAGCATTAGGGGGCACCAGGTCCTGCCATTCCACCTCCAAAGGAATTTTCATATCTGACCTGTAATGCAACCATCCCAAAACCGGGTAGGTTCAAGCAGCGTGCTGGTGTTTTATCTGTTTTCATGTTCGCCACTGTACGCCGCCGTGCTCCGCCGTACTCCACACCACGCCACTCCACACCACACCGTCCTCTGCCGCCCTGGCCTTTTATGCCCCATCTCTCCCTCAGGTGCGCCCCCCTATGCATGCTTACACCCTACTCCAGGTGTCTGCCATCAGGCATGCGTCTAGGATCCCAGGGATCCATCATCAACGCTAATGGCGGGAGGGCAGAAAAACCTGACACTTACTTACCCAACAGACCCTACCTGCCCTTTGTCCCCAGGGCCTCGGCCCTGGTCCAGAGTACCTGATCGCTAACGCTAGCTTTGCAGCCAACCCTTCTGTGCCGCCCCCATGCCTCATAGTCAAGTCCACACTCCCATTGGGGCCTGCCAGGCTCTCGCTACATCCTGCCTACCATGGGCCACTCCCCATGAGCTCCTTCCACTGGGTCCCAAGGCACGTCTCAAATAAACGTTTTCATGCCAGGACATGTGCTACTCCGTGTGCCAGCCTTAAGTGGAAGCCAGGACACCGGTTCCAGCCCCGGCTCCAGAAGTGCCTGTCCCTCCCCCACCCGGGTTGCCCCCCGCGGATGGGTGGGACGTCTGGATGAGGTGCTCACCTCCCTGTGTGATCCCAGGAAAGGTGCTGGGAATGATGGTCCATGACGTGGCAGGACTGGAGACTCTCCTCCCCAGGTGCCCCCCGTGCCTGAATGTGGAACACGCCTGTGTTCAGTAGCGAGTGGGAGCCCGGAGTTGTACCTAATCATTAGACACTAATTAATTCATTTACTGATGAGGTGCTGCCAGGACTCCCAGGCCTCCATACTGCTCTCCCTCCCGCTACAACTGATCTTCAAAGGAATGGGAAGCATTTCCAAAAATATCCATTTTCCCGTGATTCTCCTGGAGGGCCGCTCCGCTCAGCAATTAAAGACAAGGAGGTCGCATCCTCCCTGGCAACCACTCAGGGCTTTGGGGGCCTCTTTTCTTTCAGGATTTCCTCCTCGCTCCTGCCCAAAGCCCACTTGCTCCGTGTGACCTGGCCTGGAGGGACCGCAGCCCCCAGCCCCCTAGGCGTGAAAGGCGTCCTTGAGCCAAAGAGAATCTCCCGTGACCCTCCCTGGTAGAACAAGTGACATGTTCTGAATCTTACATAAGCTTATTTAAATACAGCTCCAACACAGTAATAATAATAATAAAAATAAACACACCACATGCCGGTAGGATTCCAGGAACGCTGCACGTGTTAACTAAACCACTCTCGCAACCACTGAGGTAGGAACGGTTGTCAAGGTGTTAAGTATACACAGTTGCCGAGGTGGGAAACTGTGCACCTGGAACCAATGCAGTGTTTGTAAATGTTACCTCAATAAAAAGGGGGGAGAGGATCATTCCTATCTTGCAGATAAAGAAGCTGAAAGGTTGTGAGACTTGCCCAAGGTCACACGTCAGTAATGGGCTTGAACCCAGGCTGTCTGGTTGAGAGTCGAGACCCCATTCAGTGCCCCTTGCCACCAGGTCTCCACCCCCAGGCGCCTTCCTTTGCAGACACCCTGGAGCAGCTGCTGGTCCCAGGCACTTCCAGTCTGTGGTGCAGACACTGGGTTCCCAGGTTCCTTGCCTCCCCCCAGCAGTTATCCCTATTTTGCAATTAGCAAAGCTGTGCAGCATCTTGGCCAACTCTGCCCACGGCTCCCCTATGCTGAGATTCAGGCCCACGGACGGGGAAGCCATTTAGCTTCGTTCCCGCTGGCTGCTGCAGGAGCAGCCTCAGAGCAGAGGGGCCTCAAGCAAGCAGGGTGGAGCAGGAGGGGTCCCGCTCCTGGTGGCACAGCCTCTCTTCCCCCAGCCACCCCACCATCCCCCTGTTGTCCTGCTGCAGCAGAGAGGCAGCTCCAGGCTGCACGGCCCTGGAGATCAGCTGGCCCAGCCCGGCTCCTTATAAATGAGGACACGGGAGAGGCCGCCGGCTGAGGTCACCACGCAGCACAGCCATGTGGAGCTGGTCCCGGGCAGCCCCTGTGTCTGCCAGGCAGCGCTCTACCCCTGCCGGGCACCAGGGTCAGGGGCTGGGGCTCGCCCAGCCCTGCTGGGGTGGGGATGTGACCTGCGGGTCAGGGGTCATGGAAGGCCTGTCGCAGGGGAGGGCTCCAGTGGAAATGGCTCAGGGCACAATTGCTCTCTCAGACAGTGCAGTCTGGGCCAGGGCCAGAATTAACTTAAGGAAGCATATTTAGAGCCGCATGCTGGAGAGGGGCACGGGGCGGGGCGGGGCAGTCTCTGCCAGCAAAGGAGAAAAGACTCAAGATTTGGAACTCCCTCAGCCCCTCCCCTACAGGGTTTCAGGGCCCGGTGCAGGGGGGATGGGTAGGAGGTGGGTAAGAAGGGTTCTCTGCCCGCTCCAGCCGCCCAGGAGCCCTGAAGGCAGGCCTCAGACCACAGGGCCCCTCTCCGTCTCCTTAGAAGGTGGCAGGCTCTGGGCTGCAGGCTGAGGGCTGCGCCACCCTCCCTCTCTCCCTGGCCCCCTCTCCTGTCCTCTTCCCCAGTGCCCTGTGAGGCTGGGAGCCAGCGGCAGCAGATCCTAGTAGTGAGACGCTGCCGCGCTCCACCAGGCCTGCCCGACCCTGCCCAGTGAGCCCCCACCCTGTGTGGAACACGGCCACGTGGGATCCCCAGGGGAGGCCTCCCTGCAGAGAGCCCCCCTAGGAAGCGCTGTCATATAAGCGTGCCCTGCCCTTCCACCTGTTGTGCCTGGTCACGCGAGCAAGGACTGACTCATGGCACCTCACCATTCTTTTTTGCTGCCACAAAAGACCCCAAATGGGAGATTTCTCTAAAGAGAAACGCCATGTGATCTGCTGTCACACCAGGGCTTGCGAGGAGCTAGCCCAGCGCACCTGCTTGAGGGCAGTCCCATGGGCATGGTCACGCCAGCGTGGGCGGGCAGAGCCGTGGCCCCAGAGGCAGGCATTGGGGTCCACCCTGTCCCTGTTGGTGAATAGAATAAGGCAGGAGGATGGGGGTCATAGGGAAACCTCTTTCCCCAGCTTTACCCCCACCCTACCCTAGCAAGCAGTCCCCTGTGCTGGCCCAGATGGCTGGGTAGATGCGCAGACGAAAGGGTAGACGGACACCCAGGCTGCTCCTTGGGCGAGGAGCCCACCGCTGTCTCGGACTCTTCTCTTTCAGACAATGGCTACCGGGAGTGTCTGGCCAACGGAAGCTGGGCCGCCCGCGTGAACTACTCGGAATGCCAGGAGATCCTCAATGAGGAGGTAAGACTGGGCCAGCGAGAGCCCGGTGTGCAGGGGTGTCGGCCCCCAGCACAGGCTGATGTCCAGGCCCGGCCTGCGGGAAGCCGCCTGGGGAGCAAGAGCTGTGAACTCACGGCGGGGTCACCTCTCAGGCACCCCTGAGGCAGGATGAGCCAGGTGGGAAGGGGCAGGCTCGAAGGGGCCCAGCGAGTCCTTGTGCCTTCCACCCACTCTCATTGGGATGGGTGAACACCAGCCACCTCAAGTGGGGGTGCAGCCTGGGGGGCCGGGTCAGAATCCAAACCCTTACACATAATACAAAATCCAGAAGGTGCAAATGGGAACACGGAGAAAAGCCTCCTGCCCGCCCCAGAGCAACGTCTGCGGCTTTCTTAAGTGTCCTTCCAGAGCCTTCTCTGCACCGCCCAGTAACGATGGCTTCGCCTTCTGTTTTATTTTTACCCAAATGTTACGTATCACACACACCGTTCGACACCTTGCTTTTTTCATATTATCATCCATCCTGGAGGTTATTCCGTATCAGCTCTAAAGAGCATCTCATTCCTTTTTGCATTTGCATAATATCATGTTGCGCAGAGGCGCCATCATTTATTTAACCAATCTTCATCCGCAGTCTTCGGTTATGGCAAACAGTGCTGCAATGAATAATCCTTGAAGGGAGATAGTTGGCAGATGTACGAATGTATCCACCTCCCAGTGTTGCTGCCCACTCCTGCGCCCCTTGCTCCCTCCCCGGCACCTCCACTCACCCCTTCAGTGGCTGCCAGGGAAGGTGGGGGTCAAGGAGATGGGAAAATGAGTGAGCAGGAAGCAAAGGGCAGAAGGAAAATGCCCAACGCCGCCTGAGGTATGCAGGCTTTGGGGGCGCGGGGCGGAAGAGCTGGTCTGGGCAGCCCTGAGAATCCCGGCACCTAAGAGATCTCAACTGGAATGCCCCTCTAGAGACCCTGCGGACCTGTACCCTCCGTGCCATCCGAGCTTCCCAAACCCGCCGGGTAATGAGAGCCACCCAGAGTGCTTGTTCAAATGCAGGCAGGCCCGGGCTACCCCAAATACCTGGTAAATGGAACTCTCGGGGAGGGCCTGGCAATCTGTATTTTTAACAAGTGCCTCTGCGTAAAGATGAGAAACTTTAATTTAGGCCAACCCACCCGCCTTGCCAGTGGGGAGCGGAGGTCCAGAAAGGGAGAATGACTCAGCCAAAGTCACCTGGTCAGAGTCAGCCGGAGCCTGGAACCTGGGGCTTCGGGGTCCAGGATAGCCTTTGCCTGTTTCCCGTGTGAAGTGAGCTGAAGTCAGATGGAGAGGGGGTGCTTCGAGGCAGAGACCGCAAGCAACACAGGCACCCTGTCCTCAGGTTCCGGACTCGGTGGGGGCCGCCCATGTCCACCCTGCAGTGCGGCACACCCGCAGTCCCTGCCGCCCTGTCACCTCACTCTGGGGATCCATTCATTTACTTAGTGAAAACGCCATCCCCTCTGCCAGCCCCAACCTCTTCAGAATCCCCCCCGCCCCCAAGATCCCCAGTCTCCTCCCGGAGCTCCAGAGAAAGGAAAGTCTCCAATTCATGGAGCAGCCGTTTTTCTCGGCTCTGCACCTCGGCTAAGCCCCTGTTAAGCCCCAGCGCACCCGGGGCTTTGCAGATAATGGATTCGCAGAAGGCTTTCGTGTGAAATGGGGCTTGTGAGGGTGCCCAGAGGCCAGGCAGGGAGACCTGCGCGGGGGACAAGCCCTCCCAGGGGGCGCAGTGCTGGCCCGTGGCCCGGTCCCTGGGGAATGGCACCGACCACACCGCATGGCCCCCACTCCCCGTAGTAGCACCCTCCACACACAGCAGTGCTCCCCACCACTGCCCCCCAACACCCACACACTTGCTCCCCGCCCCCGCACCGCCGAGGGCAGGGATGGGCCTTGGTGGCACAGGACAGGGACGCCCAGGCTGTCACTGTGGGCCGGGTCTGCTGCTCACAGGGGAGGTTGCTGGGCCAGGGCTTCTGAACTGCTTCGGAACCATGTGGGTTTCTTGCTACAAGGAAGAGCCTGACCCAGTGGGGCAAGGGGAGGCTTCCGTATGATTCTGCGTTCCCAAAGAGTCCTGCCAGCTCCTGGGAGACCAGACGTTGCAGGTGTGAGGACCACATCTCAAGGAGCCAGGGCCAGAGGACCCACTGGTGGGGTGGGAGGGGCTTTGAAGCCCAGGAGAGGAAGAGCCGCAAACTGGGTGGGCCGGGGGAGGAGGGAGACGGAGCTGGGGGCTCGGGGGGCCCCTGGGATGGGCAGGGGCCATCACTGCCTCCGCAACGCCACTGGGGACAAGGTGTGTCTCGCAGAGCCGGCCCAAATTGGCCGGTCACCGATTGCTTATTGGATTCTGGTCACTGGGGGTGCAGCCGAGAGGTCTCTGCCCAGCGCCACCCTGTGCCACCTCTCCGGGGTGGCTGCCAGTCGGGGCGGGGTGGAGTGTGGTCAGGGATGGGCTGTGTCCATTTGCCCTTCAGGCACCCCAGCTGCTGCTGCAGTTAAATGTGACTTTTTCTTGGACTGCTGCTGACTGCCTCTCGGGGTATCCCTGGATGTTGCTGCTGTCCTTTCTGGGTATCACTGACACTGGTCAGTTAGTGTAGCTGCCCAGCTTTCCTGGAGACACTGGTGTCTCTCCAGCCGCCTTCTGGGGCCCCCTCCGCACTGTGACCCTGGCTGGCTCCCATTGCTCATGTAACGAGGAATGTCGCCTGATGACAGGTGAAAGACGCCCTGGGCCCCCCAACTCAAGGAGCCTCAAAGAGGCTTTGCTCCTTTTAATGGTTTGACCCAACTCTACCATTTTGGCCTTGGTGGAGAAAACCCCTCTTGAGCCCCTGTCTTCCCTCCAAGGGTTCTGGCCCAGAGCATGGGTGCTTCCCCCAGTGTCTTTTCAATCCTGCTTACCCCCCAAGAAAAGCACTGCAGGCACAGGGAACAGAGGGTCTTTAAGACCAAGCAGACCAGGATTCCGATGACTGGCCAGCTGGCCTGTGACTAGGCTGATGATGGAACAGAACCAGAGGACAGCGCACAGAGGGCACAGGAGACACAGCCTGCCCAGTACAGTGCCCAGCATACAATAGGTGCTTAATAAAAGACTCCCCCCACCCAAGCCACACAGCCTAGGCACATCATGCATGACAGCCAGGGAGGGGGTGATCGAGGGCAGATGGGGGGCAGAGGCCCCTGCACACTCTGCCCATCTTGTCCACTTGCGCCGAGAACCAGGCTGGGGCATCTCTCCATCCCGGGCTCTGCAGATGTTGCTATCACCCAGCGGCTTCCCAGCATGGATTTGTGGGAAATTTAATAAAAGGAAATTAAGTACCAGCTCCAGACAAGCTGTGATGCGTGCGTATCTTCTGGTGTCTCCAGATTTGGGCATCTGTTGCCAGGCGCTCAGAGACTCTCCCATTTGCACAGGGGCCAATGCCCCCCCCAACCCCTCCTCGCTTTCCCTCTCCCTTGCTGGGCCACAGCCCTTCCAAAGCCTGAATTGCTAATGTGCTTTCTTGCCAGGTTCCTGAGAGCCAGGAAAACCAGCCCCTAGGACAGAGCTCCCTGGACCTCAGAGGTTCTTCAGGGAGGACACCCCTTCAGAAGGGGTGCAGCAGGAGCTGGGGGGCTTGTGGGAGGTGGAGGGGAGTGATCCCTTTCCAATGCTTTCAAGGTGTGCTGCTGCTGAGGTTACACCCCTTGTCCTTGTGTAGGTGAATGTGGGCCTCAGTTTCCTCCTCTGGAGATTGGGGAGCACTGGTGTTGACCCCCCCCAAGCACCACCACAGCTTTGGTGAAACCCCACTGAGTGCACGGTTCTCCGGGCCCAGCCCTCTCAGCACCTGGAAAAGGCTGAGTGGGGGCGTTGCTGGGGAGAGGGCAGGAGTCTACATAGACCTGGCACTGGGGAGCTACAAGTTCCCCCATTGTGGGGTGGCCTGCAGGTAGAGGCAGTTTGAAATGGAGGAGCCTGTTTTTCTGCAAAACAAGACAAACCCCCTTCTAGCTCTTCCCCCCCGACCCCCGCGTGTGGTTGCATGAGGGTTTAAGAGGGATGAAAATATTCTGTAAATGGGAAGGTTTCATCCCTGGGGTGGGGGACTTGGGGTGATTGGAAGAGGGGGACCTCAGCAATTTCCAGCCTCCATCGGCATAGGACGTGAAGGAAGAGTGAACAGTGGGGGCTTGGCTGGAGTCCTAGAGGAACGCCCCCCTCACCTCCAGCAGCGCCCCGGGTGGAGGGGGAGGGGTTCGGGGGAGGACCTGGGAAGCGTGTTTTGGAGCCTGGAGAGACTTTCTGTGCTTTCTAATGATTCTGTGGCTGCTCCCACCTCCTCCCTGCCCAGCTAGCGAGAGCAGGTTTCACCTGCAGCAGATGGGTTTAGGGATGATCAGGAACCGGGGGGGCTCCACCTAGAGACAGTAGAGGGGGCAGTGTCTGCACCTCGAGGCCTCTGCTCTTTGGACTGACTGGAAATGTGAGTGTGAGCACATCTGCGAGCCGTGCAAGCCCATGTGCCCTTGGGGTGGGGGCCCTATGAGAAGTGGGGGTTCAAGTAACTGCCATTTGTCCAAAGCTCAGAGCAGTGGACAGAGCGTGGACTCGAGGACAGACAGAAGGGCACTGCCCACACACAGTGGGGGCCCTGATAGGTTAGGGGTTAGCTGTGATTGGTGTGACCCCTCTGTCCCGGCCGGACACGGGGTGCAGTGGTACAGGAGCCTCACCTCTGCCCTCTCTCCTGCCACAGAAGAAGAGCAAGGTCCACTACCACGTTGCTGTCATCATCAACTACCTGGGCCACTGCATCTCCCTGGTGGCCCTCCTGGTGGCCTTTGTCCTCTTCCTGCGGCTCAGGTGAGAAGGGCCCCCCCACACCCCCCCAGCACTGTCTGGCCTTGAGCAAGGGAGGAGCAAGAGGCAGGTGACTCTGGGAAAGGGAGCCTGGCCCCTGCCCCTCAGTGGGAGGGGCTGACAGATGCAGGACTCTTAGCTCCTCTGGCTGAGCCACTTCTGCCAGCCCCCCACGACCACCACCACAGGGTGGCGTCCATTTGTAGAGACCTGGAAGGTGGAGCCCCATTTGGATTTGACCTGCCTGGTCTCAGCACTACTGCCCAGGATACAGGTGGCATGTCAGGCAGGTCTGTGCCAAGAATTGGGGGAGCATCAGGTCTCAAAACTGGGAGGCGTTTTCTGTTTTCTGACCCCCAAAACTGGAGCTACAGGGAGTGGAGTGCCCAGGAGTACTGGTCCTGGAGCATGGGCTGTGTGCCAGGCTCTGCCACCCTGGGTGGGCCACAGGGAAGAAGACCCTACACTGGCCTCTCAAGAGGGCCTCTGCCCCCGCCTCCTGGTGTGACTTAGCAGCCCTGCGCTGGGCCTCAGTTTCCGCATCCACACTTCTGGGCTGGAGTGATGCTGACGGCTCACCCCTCACCCCCTCCTCTCCTTGTTTCCATCACCCCCAGGAGCATCAGGTGCCTGAGAAACATCATCCACTGGAACCTCATCTCGGCCTTCATCCTACGCAACGCCACGTGGTTCGTGGTCCAGCTCACCATGAGCCCCGAAGTCCACCAGAGCAACGTGGTGCGTCCTGCGGGGCAGCCCAGGCCAGGGAAGGGGAGCGCGGTGGAGGAGGGCCAGGCCAGGCCTGGGACCCCACAGACAGGAGGATGCTGGGGGTGATCCCTAGTACCCAGAGAAGGCCCTGGCCCGGGGTGGGTGCCGCTGCCCAGCCCGGCCGCTGCTCACCCGCGGCTCTGGTGGGGACGGGGCGGCAGGGCTGGTGCAGGCTGGTGACCGCCGCCTACAACTACTTCCACGTGACCAACTTCTTCTGGATGTTCGGCGAGGGCTGCTACCTGCACACGGCCATCGTGCTCACCTACTCCACTGACCGGCTGCGCAAGTGGATGTTCATCTGCATCGGCTGGGGTGAGGCGCGGGCCTTTGCCCGCCAGACGCAGTCCAGGGGCCCTGGGAGACCGAGGCCAGGCTGGGGTGCTAAGGTGTGCCCCACAGCCCCCACCCCTCCCTGGGGCCCCACAGCCCCCGCACACACTGGACGGGAACCCCGCCTGCCCCTAGACTCTCAGCCACCCTGGGGCCCCGGCCCTGCACCCGCACCCCTACCGAGGGACTGACCGCCCGCCTCTCCCCAGGTGTGCCTTTCCCCATCATCGTGGCCTGGGCCATCGGGAAGCTCTACTACGACAACGAGAAGTGAGTCACCTCCTCCCCTTCACAGCCCTCAGGCCCCCCCCGAGCCCCCGGCTTCCTGCCCAGCTCTGCCCGACAACCCCCAAGGGCCTCTACCAAGTCCCCTTCCCATCAGCACCAGTTTCTTGTCTATGAAGGGAGGGCGCCCTGGCTGGACTCGGTCCGAGGCTCCCGCCTGTGCCTGCCTGAGCTGGGGCAGTAGGAGCCGGACTCTTACCTGTCTGGGCTCTCGCAGCCGAACTGTGCAAGGGTCCCGGCCGCCTGTGGAGCCAAGCGACCCCAGTTCCGAACTGTGGCTCCATCCGGAAGTAGCGCTTTGACCTTGAGCTAGTTGCTGTGGTGTGCCTCAGTTTCCTCATCTGTAAAACGGACATCCTAGTAATAACACCGCCCTCCTCATGGGGGTGACGTGAGCTTATACATAAATATTGTGTATGTGTGTATATATATATATACATAAAATATCTGTTAAGCCTTCAGCGTAATATCTGGTATCTGGCAGTAAATACCACATTAATGTTTTTTTTATCAAAACTAGGGCTTATTTTAACACAGGATTCCATGGGTTTCAGAGACGTGCCCACCAGCTCTGACGCTCATTCCAGCCCTGAGTGCTGAGGCACCTTATAAATTGGACTTGAGTGTCCATACCACCCCTCAATACTCGGCCTGAGTGTCCAGTCTAGGAGGGGACCCCTCTTTCAGACACAACTGGGCCTGGCAGTGACACCCAGACAGAGACCTGGGTCCCGGGGCAGGAACGTCGCTAACCCCTGGCAATGGTGCCTGGCCTGCAGGGGTGCGGGTGTGAGAGTGAGTACCCAGGAGAGAACAGGTTTCCAGAAGCTGCTGTGCTGCCACGTGTGTGCGTGTGCATGTGTGCGTGTATGTTTGTGTGTGCGCCCGCCCGCACGCTCACATTCTGGAAGGAAAAGGAGCCTGCGCTGGAGAAGAAAGTCGGTCTGGCGGCTCTGGAGCCCCACCTGGTGGCAGGACCCTGACACAACCGCAGGAGGGTCCAGGTGTGAGTGGTCAGAACTTGCAGACCCAGGTCAAGGACTTGACTTGGCCCACAGACAGCTGTGGCCTTTGATCTGCCTGACGCAGAAAACTTGGTGCTCTTGAAAACTTGGATTTGTTGCCAACCCTTAAAGAGCCAAGGGGTTTCACATAAAAAAATCTCAGTTTCTGGTTTCTGGTGGCATGAAATCTAAGCATTCTGGGCTGCATGCCCATCGCCACACCAGGACATAGGACTTCCCCTGTGCCCATCCCCGCCAGACCCCCTAGAGCTTGCTGGAGGGAGATTCAGAGAAATGCAAAGCATCTGCCTCCCATCACGGGCGGAGCCTGTGGAATCCGCCTCGAGGTTGATGAACAGACTTGGAAATGGGTGTCAGCTGCCCACTACGCGCAGGATCTGTGCTGCCACCCACCCCCAGCACCGCCAGGGGCACGGGCCAAAGCCATGCTGGGTCAGGGGCAGCAGTGGTGTTGGCCGTGTCTGTTATACTCAGGGTTTGCTTCAGCCCTTCATCCCTCAATAGAGGACCTCCAGGTGGGATAAGCATTGCGGCAGGCCCAAGGAGCTTGGCCTTCTGGCGGGGTTGGAGCTGGGACGCCTAGATCCTGACCTCAGACCCCTGTCCTTCCCTGGCCAGGCATGCCCCTCCCCCATGCCCCTGAATTGGATCCAAATGACCCCCCTCCCTCTTACCCCTCCTACCCCCTACCCCCGTGGCCTTCTAGGTGCTGGTTTGGCAAAAGGCCTGGGGTGTACACCGACTACATCTACCAAGGCCCCATGATCTTGGTCCTGCTGGTAAGAACCCGGGTAGGGGGCTGGAGGGAGGGGCATTGTGGGGAGGGGCAGTCCATTTCTGCTATGGACCAAAAGGCCCTCTGCCAGAGGTGGGGGTGCCGGGCCACGGATGAGCAAGTGTTAATGAAGATGGAGGGAGAATGGAGGTCCCAGACCAGACTCGAGGCTGCTGAGTCCCCAGCTGCCCACCCATGCCATCCCACTGTGTGCTCAAATTGCAGATCAATTTTATCTTCCTTTTCAACATCGTCCGCATCCTCATGACCAAGCTCCGGGCATCCACCACGTCTGAGACCATTCAGTACAGGTAACTGGTCCCACCTCCTACACCCTCGGGGGCTTCAGAGACCCCAGCCTCTGACCCAGGGTCTCCCCCAGGCCTGGTGGCCCCTCCTGAAACCCCAATATTCCTGGGACCTGCCAACCCCCGCCCAGATCTGGCCCCCTTCAACCCCTCCTGGGTGGGATGTGACTGTGCACCCCCTGCCCCCTCAGGAAGGCTGTGAAGGCCACTCTGGTGCTGCTCCCCCTCTTGGGCATCACCTACATGCTGTTCTTCGTGAACCCCGGGGAGGACGAGGTCTCCCGGGTCGTCTTCATCTACTTCAACTCCTTCTTGGAATCCTTCCAGGTACAGCCGCTCTCCCACTCCGGCCCTGGCCTCCCTGTGCTTCCCAGGAAGGGGTTGTCCAGGCAGGGGCTGGGGGGTGGGGGCAGGAGGCGGCCCAGAGGGGGCAGCCCCGCCCCTTGACTGGCTTCCTCCCTCCCCTCCAGGGTTTCTTCGTGTCTGTGTTCTACTGTTTCCTCAACAGCGAGGTAAGCACCCGGGGCCCAGGCCCAGGATGGTAGGAGGGGATCCCCGTGGGGACTGGCCCCCCTGCCCTCCACAGGCCCTCTCTCTGCCCCTGCTCCCAGGGGCCCTGGGAGGGTCCCTGCTGCCTGCCACACTGCTCCTGCCACCCCTTGCCCTCCTGGGCCGCTGGATGGAGGCCAGAAGCCAGAGCTGCTCAGTCCCGCCAGTTAATCTGTGAAACCGGTTGTTTAAAACCAGGAAACAGCCCTGGGGCCGCGCGTGCCTGTGGGTTGAGGGCAGGGACACTCCTGGCAAAGGCCACAAGGCATCTCTGCTCTGACTATAGTAATGACCCACAATGTCGCCAATCCAATGTCGCCACCTCCTATCGGCCCCCTGGGCACCTCACCTGTGCAGTGCTCACCTGAGCACCTCACACCTGTGTACTGCTCACCTGTGCGGTGTTCATCTGGGCACTGGGCACCTGTGCAGCTGCTGGTGGCAGCCCTGGGGGACACGTGCTTTGCTCTGTGCCCACAGGTCCGCTCTGCCATCCGGAAGCGGTGGCGCCGGTGGCAGGACAAGCACTCCATCCGCGCCCGTGTGGCCCGCGCCATGTCCATCCCCACCTCCCCCACCCGCGTCAGCTTTCACAGCATCAAGCAGTCCACGGCAGTCTGAGCTGAGGGCCGTGGAGCGCTCACCCGAGGTCTATGGTTGGGAAGATGATGCCAGGCGCAGCCGGCCACCGGGTCTCTGGAGGGGACCACCTTTTCCTGCACCCTGTGCCCCCAGGAGCAGCGGGCACTGACGGCCTGGGAAGCCCCACCAGCCCTTGACTTGGCCGGAGTTCCTGGGCTGTGAGAGCAGCTGCCGGCCCCGGGACAGATGGGAAATGAGCTGGGCTGACCTCCTGCCCCGCTGCCCCCTGGGGAGAAAGGATGAGGAATGGAGTGGAAACGGGGAGCTAGGGAGTCAGCTCGTGGGCCCCTCCAACAGTTGTCTTCCCCCGAGCACCTGGGCTTTCCTGGGCAACGAAGGGCAGGAGCTCCCCAGGGGCATCATGGGAAACTCCTGTGGCCACATCTGCTTCACCGTGATGGGGCCTCTGGTCTCCGCCGGGCTCCAACACCGCGGGGTCCCCAGGTCGCAGCATCAGAGCCCTGGAGGCACCATTAGACATCGGGTGATCATCAGACGTCACGCACACCCTAGAACTCCCCCTGCACCCTGGACTTCATCTGGCACCGTGGCACTGCCATCAGATACGCCCTGCCTTGCTGCCTCGCACCCTTGGGCCTTTACTCCCCTGCGGCCACACGCCCCCAAGCACCGGCAATACTCTCACCCTGACACCTGGCAGCCCCTGCCCCAGCTGTCTCCCCCTTCGTGAGAGGATGGGGCCTGGGAAGGTGACAGAGGGGGCTGTGCCCAGCCAGAGCCAGTCTGCCTTTGAGGGGCAGAGCATATTTGAGGCCATCCAGCCTGCTGGCTTCGGGGCTCTGGGGGAGCATCTCTATAGATCAAAGACAGAGGGGTGGGGGGAGCACTCTGCCCCAAGCACCTAGAGCAGGACAAGTGGCTTTGGGGGCAAACAGCCAGTGGATGGTTTAACACCCCAGCGTGGACTGGCCCAGCCCCCACTCAACCCACCCACGTCCACAGCAGGACTTTGGGGGTGTGGACTAGGAGAGGAGGGTGTGGGGTGTGAAGGGGTGGCTGATGTAAATAATAATATTTATCTTTTCAATCAACATTTGTGAAGGCCTGGACTGGGGGGGGCTGGAGGCAGAGGGCGCCTCAGAGAAATGAGGCTTTCAGTCGTGAAGGCCGCTGTGTGGCCAGGAACCCTGATTCCACTCACACTTATCAAGGATGGGGTGCTAGGTGACCCCTGTGGGCTGGGAAAGGGCTTCGGGGTAGACCCGGGTCCAGCCAGGCCCCAACAAGGACACGCTTGTCAAGGGGGAGCTTGCAGAGGGGGACGGGCCATGGTGAACAATACCAATACTGGGGGGCTGGGGAGGAGAGAGGGCACATCGGGGGCTCCATGGACAGGGCAGTGGGCCCAGAGAGGGCAGAGCCCAGCCCAGGAAGAAGTAGATTTGGGACTGCCGCCTCAGCTCGGGGGTCCCAGAAGCAGCCCCGGGGGAACACAGTTCTGAACACAGACCCCAGGGGAGGGAGCACAGGACGTGGGTGGGGGCGTGAGGTGGCGGGAAGCGTGGGTGTGCACACGCCGGCCACCCCTGCGGGCGCTGAAGCTTCGTTCCACAGAGGCTTGAGGACACAGTCTCCTGTCATCCACCGGCTCTGTCAGTCCGGGGTGAAGGCTGCTTCCGGGGGGATAATGCCCCAGCACTTCCCACACCACAGAGGCCCAGGAGGCCCAGGGAGAGCACCAGACACCAAGGCCACAGGGGAAGCTGCTGGCTGTGTCCTAAGGGTGGGAGGGGGCACTAATGCTCCACCCCGGCACAGGCCCCAACAGCCTCTGGGTGTCTGACCGGGGAGGGGCCCCACGTGTGCATCCACGCGTGTGTGCGCAAGGGGGTGCGCGGCCAGGACACTCACAGCAGACTGAGACCCCTGAGCAGCACCTGGGAGCGCCCCACGGGAGGGGAGGGCTGTGAGTGAGGGCTCAGCCCCAGAAAGGAGCTGTGGGTGTACCTGCAGGCCATGTGGGGTACCCTGCTCTGCCGCTCCCAAACACTATCCCTTGCAGTGGGGGCAGAGCAGGGGTGCCCTGCCAGGTGCTCCGTGCAACTAAGAGGAGGCTGGGAGGGCACAGCAAACCCTACTCCCCCCGCCCCCCCACCCCTGCTCCCAGGGTGGGAGGACACGGAGGTGGCAGGGGACAGAGCAGGTGACCATCTGGTCCCTCACGTCTAAACCATCTCTAGAGCCAGCAACTAGGAACACGGCCCCTGAACCTGCTTCCTGGGTCTGCCTTTGCTCCAGTGACTGCAGGCAAAGCCCCAGGTGCCACCTCTGCCTCCCAGTGACAGGCAGAGACACTGCCCCTGGCCTGCCCTGCACAGTGACCCTGAGAGCCAGACCATGGCGAAGGGGGCGGTGGGAAGGGAGTGGAAGCTGCAGAGTCAGGGGATACCCCTGAGGAAAGGGGGGTGCTGCAGGGGCTTGGAGCAGAGTCCCGGCCCAGGGAGCGAGCCCCCAAGGGCACCTGCCATGCATGTAACAGGGCAGGGTGGGCACCAAGCGGCCTCAGGGAAGAGCAGCTCCAAGTCTGATGGGTTGGGGGTTCAGAGATGGGATGGGGGGATCTGAGGAAGCAGCCAGAGGACTGACACACCAGCCTTAGTGAGCAGGGGCCCCGGAAGAGCTTCCGAGGAAATAAACCTGCAGAGAAATCTCCGAGTCCAGGGCACCAGGAGCCCACAGGTGGACCAGAGAGAAAGGGCAGGAGCGGGATCTGTTTGGGGTTCCTGTTTTCTGAACCCCAAATTAGAGCTAGACTGAAAGGGCCCAGGATTAAAATGAGATCTGTTGTAAGCTCAGTGCCACTTGAGGGACTAGAGGTGGTCCTCGTTTGATTTTTTTTTTTAATTGCACTGATGCTGGTGTACAGCACATTATAGGATTGAGGGTACAGGTTCACACCTCCTCACGTTCGGCACCACACCCGACGCATCAGGAGCCCGTGGGGGGAGCTGGCAGCCTCCTCCCCAGACCCTGCCTCTTCTCGGTCACCGGCTGGGGGTAGGCTCACCCGTCAGCATGTCTTCCCTAAGGTATTCCTGACAGTGAACTTGGCATTTTAATTACTGTTTGTAATCTAATGAAATGTTGTATTAATGGATGATGAACCAGAAGGACACAAACCAGGGGAGATACTGTCGTGAAGTATCAGCTGAATGTCTTGAAAGACACAATCTGAGTCAGAGAGAAAGAGTTGTCAAATTAGGTGAGACAAATGTCCACGACTGGGTGAGAAGAGATTGTCCAGGCCTACAAGGTTCTACTTGCCAGCCTCTTTGCAGAGTCCTCGAAGCGTGCCCTCCACCTCGAGGTCCAAAGCTGCCCGTTGGAGATGGTGTCCCATGGGTGTGGCTTCGCTGGGAAGGCGATGCGGCGCTGCAACGGATGGCCCTGTGGGTCTGCTAGACCTGTGGGGCTGATCAGAGGAGAGGCATGGAGGAAGACCAGCGACTGGGTTAAAATGGAATGGATTTCAAAAGCCAAATTATTTCTCAAAACGTTAAGTTGGCATCCTACCCCCAGCACTTGTGCCTACGACCTTATTAGAAACAGACCTTAGAGTCATTGAGTGAGATGCGCTCACGAGGCCGGGCCCTGGTGGAACCTGACGGAGTCTTCTAGGGCAGAGACACAGTGGGAACGCCAGGCAACTCAAAGGCAGAGATGGGAGCTGCGCAGCTGCCAACCAAGGAGTGCCAGGGGCTGCTGACCCCCCGCCACAGGAGAGACCCGAGTCCCCGGAACACAAACCCCACAGCCTGGGGGGCTTAAGCAACATTTATTCCCCCAGGTTTGAGGCTGGGCGGTGCGAGGTGCAGGCGCTGACCTGTCTGGCTCCCGGGGAGAGTCCCTCTTGCAGGTTCTCCGTGGTGAGGGCAAGATCCTCTCGTGTCTCTTGCAAGAGCCTTCTCACGAGGCCCGCCTTCACAGCATCATGTCCGAAGTCCTCGCCTCCACGTCCACCGCACTCGGGCTGGGGCTCCACCGCAGGAACGCGGGGTGGGGGCGCACAAACATTCAGTCCACAGCAGGCTTCTCGCCTCCAGGCTGAGAATAAACTTCTGCGCTTCGCCCCCGGGCTCGCCAGCGGCTGTGGAGGTAGGAACAGAGCCGTGCACAGGGTGTGAAGTAACGGTTTAAGGACGCCCCTTTCACCCACTATCAATCAGCCCCCTCCTACCTGGTGCCTGGATGAGCTGCTGGGGCGCAGTCCCAATGGGGCATAGGCCACATGGGGTCAGGCTTCCCTGCCGGCAGCCTGGGTCTGAACACCACCTCCTCCACCCACGTGTCTCCACGGGAAGCCCCTCCACTGCCCCGCACCCGGCTCCCAGGACCCCAGAAACCTTAGTCCAGTGTCTGTTTCCCTGCAGTGCAGAGGAGAGGCATGTGCCCAGGCTGCCCTGTGCATAAGGGGCAAAGTTAGCACAGAAGCCTCAGCTCCAGGGCCTCCCCGGTGGCGCAGCGGGTTGAGCGCAGCGCTGTGAAGCTGTCTGCAGCCTCTGTGGCGCGGGTTCAATTCCCAGCCAGCCATGGAGATACCCACATGGTGCAGCAGACCTCTCCTGTCTCTCCCACTGCTCCCCTCAGCAGTATCTTCAGTCCACCTACCTGTTCTGTTCCCTGCTCTGTCTCTGGTGAATCCTCTCACCCTCCCACGCCTATGGCCTATACCCCAGCTCTTGCATAAATAAATAAATATTTAAATAAATAAATAAAAGAATCCTCAGCTCCATCCTCCACCTGCTGCTTCAGGTCACCTGGTCCAGGTGATCTCCCTCCCAGGGCCAGGGACGGGCAGGACCCCGCGCTCCACCCAGCACCTGGGCTGGGATGGCACAGCTTTGTGACCAGGTAGGTGTGGCCCTGGTTTCCGAGATGGGAGGCCAAGCTGCTCTGTGACAAAGGGCCACACCCACCCTGGGCAGGGGAACTAGGCTGTGAGCAGCGGCCGCACTGGGTCGCGGCAGCAGGTGGATGAGGAGGATGGCATGCCTGGGGTCCCTCCTCCTCCTGCTCCTCCTCCTGCTCCTCCTCCCCAGCACCACGGCCCGGGGGGAGTACGGCGTGGTCCACGTGGTGTCTGAGAACTGGAGCAAGGACTACTGCGTCCTGTTCAGCTCCGACTATGTCACCCTCCCCCGGGACCTGCACCACGCCCCACTCCTGCCCCTGCACGACGGCACCACCGCACCCTGGTGCCCGGGTGAGGCCTCCACCCCCCAGGCCCCGGCCAGCTCCCCCGGCCAGCGGCCCCTCCGCCAGACCACCGCCATGGTCATGAGAGGCAACTGCAGCTTCTATGCTAAGGGCTGGCTGGCTCAGGGCCGAGGCGCCCACGGCTTGCTCATCGTGAGCCGGGTCAGCGGTCAACAGTGCTCAGATACCACCCTGGTGTCCCAGGACCCCCAGAAGCCCCTGCCAGACCTGACCATCCCCGTGGCTGTGCTCCGCTACACAGACATGCTGGACATCTTCAGCCACACGCACGGCAGCGCCTTGGTCCAAGTGGCCCTGTACGCGCCCCCGGAGCCCATCCTGGACTACAACATGGTGATCATCTTCATCCTGGCCGTCGGCACCGTGGCCGTGGGCGGCTACTGGGCAGGCCTGACCGAGGCTGACCAGCTGCAACGGCGGCGGGCCCGAGGAGGAGGGGGGCCTGGCGGTCACCGTCAGCTGGAGGCAGTGGCAGCCCTCAGTGGGCAGGAGGACGAGGACGTGCCTGTGGACTTCACGCCGGCCATGACGGGCATGGTGGTCACCATGTCCTGCTCCATCATGCTGCTGCTCTACTTCTTCTACGACTGCTTCGTCTACGTCATGATCGCCATCTTTGGCCTGGGCGCAGGCACCGGCCTCTACAGCTGCCTGGCGCCCCTGGTGCCCCACCTGCCCCTGCCACGATACCAGTGGGCCCTGTCTGGCCGCCGGGCCTATCTGCAGCTGCCCCTGCTGCTGCTGGCCGGCCTGTGCGCCATGGTGACGGCCCTCTGGGTGGCCTACCGCAACGAGGACCGCTGGGCGTGGCTGCTGCAGGACCTGCTGGGCGTGGCCTACTGCCTCTTCGTGCTGCGGCAGGTGCGGCTGCCCACGCTCAAGAACTGCACCTCCTTCCTGCTGGCCCTGCTGGCCTTCGACGTCTTCTTTGTCTTCGTCACGCCCCTCCTCACCAGGACTGGTGAGAGCATCATGGTGGAGGTAGCCTCGGGCCCGGCAGACTCCTCGAGCCACGAGAGGCTGCCCATGGTGCTCAAAGTCCCCCGGCTGAGCTTCTCGGTCTTGACCCTGTGCGATCAGCCCTTTTCCATCCTCGGCTTTGGTGACATTGTGGTCCCTGGCTTCCTGGTGGCCTACTGTCACCGCTTCGATGTGCAAATGCGCTCCCGCCAGGTCTACTTCGTGGCCTGCATCGTGGCCTATGCTGTGGGCCTGCTGGTCACTTTCATTGCCATGGTCCTCATGCAGATGGGCCAGCCCGCCCTGCTCTACCTGGTGTCCAGCACCCTGCTCACCAGCCTGGCTGTGGCTGCCTGCCGCCAAGAGTTCACCCTTTTTTGGACTGGCCAGGTCAGAGCCAAGACGCCCGCCCGGCTGGTGGCAGGGCTCAGCAGCGCCCCTGCGGTTGGCTCTGAGCAGAGGCAGGAGGACGCAGCTGACGTCTACACATCCAGCGAGTTTGAGGAGCCGACCAACTGCTTGGCAGGGGATTTAGACAGCAACCTCGGGGACGACATGGCCGACATTGTCACCTTATCTGAGGATGAAGCCACAGGTCCTGATGGCCACAGTGACAGCTCTGAGGGCTGGAGTGATGCCAACCTGGACCCTGAGGAGCTGCCCCGGGCCTCCACTGGGGCCTCAGAGGAGCTGTCGCCGCTGATGCCGAGGGCGACGCTGGTGCCACCGATGCCGCTGGTGCCACCGATGCCGCTGATGCCACCACCCTCAGAGTTGGGTCACGCCCAGGCCCACGAGGACGGCCTGTCCTGGATGGGACTCCACAAGAGGAAGGGCTTGAAGGTAAAGAAGAGCATGGATGCCCAGGCTCCCATGTGACCCGGGCCCCTGGGACATGTGCCTCCAGAAGAGCTGGCAGAGTTTCACAGAGCAGAGCCACGCATGGCACAGAGAAATCGGGGCATTAAAGATATTCCATATCGACCCGAAGGGCCTCTGTGCTTGTTAGGACCATAGGAAAGTAGCAACCGTGAGCAAGTCCACACAGGGCCCAGAGGGTCCTCAAGATTGGCACCATCCCCAGATTGTGCACAGGGGTACACGGACTCACAGAGGGCATCCGACTTGCACAAATTCCCTGGGAGCATTTGTTCCCAGACTTACTAGACAGCAACTCCTCCTCTCCCTGGCTGGCCCCTCCCCACGAGCCAGAACCCCAGCTTGCTGGCCTGGCACACAGTCCCCCACCATCTCTGCAGCCCCAGCCTAAGCTCACAGTCCATCTTTCCCAGGCTCAGGTCCAACTGAACCCTTGTTCCTCCTTGATCACGCTACGTCTTCTCCCTCTCTCTTTGCACATGCTGTTCCCTCTGGCCAGGATGCCCTTCCCATGCCAGACAGATATACCCCAAGGTCACGTTACCCTGGCTTACTAAGACATCCCTGAGCATCCTGCAAGCCTCCTCCCTGCTAAACTCCACAGCTTCAAGTGTCCCTGACAGCAGCACCAGGCCCGGTGCCCACACAGACACTGTATGCACCTGCTGCGGGCCCCACCCTGTGGCAGTGGAGGGGAAGGCTGCTTCCAGCTGGGGTGGGTGCTGGGTGGAGAACAGGAAGAATCTGAGAATGAGGCTAGTGCTGGAGTAGAAGAATTTAGGAGACCCCGGCTCTCCTACCCAGTGGAATTCCGGCTGCACAATTAGTGTGTGTCATTCATTGAGCACTTGACTTGGCCGCACTGTGCCTCAGTTTCCCCATCTGTAAAATGAGATAATAACAGATCTTCTGTAGGACTGAGGGGCCGTTGAATGAGTTGGCCTAGTAAGGTGACGGACCCCCTGGCCTGCATGTGGGAATGTAAACTGCTTCTGTTACTCCCCTTCTGAAAGGCTTTCCGAGTCAATCCAGCTCCCATAAGGCATAAGGCCCCAACTCCCTCCCTCCTTCGCCCCCTCTTTTGCTCCCTTCCCACATGCTGTTTCCTGTCCCTGGAACTTCCTTGTTCCTCCCCCCTCCAGAAGCCCCTGGCTGCCCCTCCTGTGTCCAGCCCAGCTCAAATGTCCTCCTTGGGGGGGGGGGCCTTCCTTCCTCTCTAAAGCAGCCCCCGCCCCACCCTTTTACTGCAACCCTGTTCACTAGTTTGCTCAGCTCCCCCGGCCACATGCCAGCTTCCTGAGGGCAGGGGGTCCTTTTCTTGTTCATGTGTGGATTTGGGGCCCAGGACAGGGCCCGCTGTGAGGCAGGTGCTTGATTTTCTTAGAGGAATGAATGAATGAATGAATGAGGAGTTGATCCAGCCTGAACTGTACAGTAACAAGGACCCCATGAGGGCAACCCTACTGCCAGGCCATCTCCGCAGGTTCCTTCAGGGCCTGGTCAGTGCAAAGCCCAGACCCTTGGGGGTCCGGCTGGATCCTGGGGGTGGGGATTAAGGAGGCAAGTGGGGTACAGGTAACAGCATCACAAAGGAAGCCCGTCACTGGGGAAGAAGAGCAGCCCCCTCAGTGTATGGCACCTGGAGGTGCAGGCTGGACATGGGCAGAGTGAGGGACCCGGGCCAGGACACTGAACGGAGGTGCTGGCAGCCCTGCCACTGGAGCCGGCAGCCATCTGGCCTGGACAGAGGGGCCTCCGCAGGCCCTGGCTCACCCCCAGCCACCCCACTGCTGACCTGCGTCACTGGGCCTATCAGGGGTGGGCTACAGCTCTCCCTCTACCCAAGGGGAAGGGCTAGACAGGCTAAGGCCCCTCAGTTCCCTTACCCCAGACAGAGGACACAGGAACTCCTGTCTCAGGAACCTGCAGTCAGGACTGCTCTGAGGATGCTGGATTAGAGCTTCCTGCTGGGGCCAAGGTCTCCCAAGAAGAGGATTCTCATGGGGAGGTCAAGGTGGGACAGGCCCCCTGTGGCCCTTATTCACCCAGGAGCCTCAGGGGGAGGTAAGGGCCAAGCAGCCTGCATTTGCTGCCTCTACTTCCCTTTCCCCCAAAAGCCTGGCATGTGGTGATGGTGTTGGGAAGCAGGAATGGCGTGTCCAGGGGTCCTGAGGTCAGGCCTGGTGTACCACTACACCCTAGCTCCCACAGCTAGGGTGCCCAGTGCCCCAGCACAGCTCCCCAGGGAGGTGGTCTTGCTACCTGTGGACACTCGTAGACAAGGGCTCACACTCATACCGCACCCTTGCACACACACAATCTACACATAGGCCTCTCCACATCCATCATGCACACCTGCGCCCAGGACATGCACCAGCACTGGCTGTAGCATGTGGTACACACATGCCCTGCACAGGCACATGTATACACATGCACACATGCACATGCACACACAAACGTACACCTGGGCTCACACACAAATGTACACCTGGGCTCAGCCAGTCCTGGCTTCTCTCTTCAGATGTAACCCTGGGCCTATGGAAATGGGGATGCTGATGGGGCAGCACCTTCTTGGTGGAGGGGATACTGAGACACAAGCCCCAGCCCCCCATCCATGAGGAAATCACTGTCGGCTGCACTGAGGAGGGCGGCTGCCCCACGGCCCTCCAGGACCGCCTCTGCTTCCAGGCCCAGGCCATGAGTCAGGGAGGTAGGGACAGGAGGGCCAGCTGGTGACAGAGCAAGACAGCCACACCAGGGCTGGGCCTTTCCATCCAAGGTGGGCCCTCTTCTAAGGCCTTTCCCTCCCCCGAGGTCCACCAGCTGGCATAGCCATGGCATGTCTGCTTCCAGGTACGATGCCTCCCCCCACCCCTGAGCTCAAGAGTCACAGCCTTGTTTTTGTCAGTTAATGGAAAGAATCTGGAGCGTCTGGCTTCCCTGGACAGTGAGAATCAGCATGGAACTAGGAGATGCTTGAAATCACAGAAAGGAAAGCCCAGAGAGGGTCAGGACTTGCCTGAGGTCACACAGCAATGGAACAGCAGATATAAAACACAACTCTGGTCTTAAGCCTCCCGCTCCAGCATCTGGAACCAGCTCCCATCCTCAAATTCCTTCCCCTCTGCACACCCCAGCCTGCAAAAGATGCCTCCTCCAGGAAAACTCCGGGCCCCCTCCTTTGTCCTGCACCCCTCAGTGGGTACAGCCCTCCTCGTTCATCGAGGCGCAGTTGTGCATGTTGCTTGATAAGGTTTATGATCCAGCATCAAGTTTGTCCCAAGCCTGTGGGACCACCCTTCTGTTCCTTAACATTCTCCCCCACAAAATGGGCCTCTGACTTGCTTTGCAGGTCTGCTGTAGGGATTAAATGAGGCATGTGTGTAAACGTCTGGTGTTTGCTAAGCACTAATAAAGATACCCACTAATTCGGTATGTAATGCCCAGGTTTTAGAGCAAAAGTTCCTGACAACACTTGGCAAACCACCAACGCCACCTTTCCCAAATCACCTTACAGTTCCTCAGGGTTGAGTGTCCAGAGATGGCTTTCCATTGAGTGTCCAAGAGTGTCCAGAGGTGCAGTTTCCAGTTTCCACCCAGAGCCAGTAAGAGGGATCCCTTTGCAGTTTGAATATGAGAGCAGCTTTCTTGGCTCCCCCACAGCCAACCTTGTCCGCTGAGTGTGCCTGTGCTGCCACCTGCTGGCCAGTGAGATAAGAGCAGGCTTAAGAACAGGGGCTTTCCATTAGGGAACTTCAAAATTATTATGTGATTAGTATAAGGTATATGACTATCATATATTATAATAAACTACACACCAGTAGGTCCTGAAGCCCCTACAGGAACTAGAGTTATCCCTAGAGAAGCTGGTTGGTTGTGAGAAGGCGGATGAGTCTAGGGAAGGATCTGAGAGGATTTTGATTTTGATGAAATGAGAACACATCAGCATCAACACATCACTGCCTGTCCTTAGTGCTTGAAGACCTCCCATGCCTGACACTTATATCACCCCCTACAATCAGGTCACTGTGAATAACTGTTTGGGGTCCCCTGTACTTGGACATTCCTAGGAGGGAGACTGCCCACACCGCCCTCCCAGCACCCAAACCCAGCCCTCACCCACATGGGCCCACAGACGCCCTCCCCCTCACACAGTGCTTACGCACTTTGTTTATGAACAAATCCCCACCCACCACTGGTTTACTTTTCAAACACTTAGTTTTGTCTTGGGAGTAACTCTTCCTGCCTTTCAGTTCCTGGGGTAGTGGCCCAGCACTTGTCCAGGAATGTAAGCCTGAATCCAGCAATCCCACTCACTATCCCGCCCACCTAGGTTGATGAGACAGCCTTGGAGAGACCTCAGAAGGGGGAGGCTGCTAAGGAAAGCAGGGTGCTGGGGGAGAACCCTGGGCTGCCAAAGACCTTGTTTTGCCTTCGAGTAGCTTCCCCCAGACTCTGGAGGACTTGAATGGTGGGGGAGGTCAGGGGGACAGGAAGGGGAGAGTATGAGATCTGAACAAAACTGTTGGCAGAGAGCTCTGAGGACAGAGAAGCAGAGCAGCATGCCCCAGGTCACACAGCAAGCAAGCGGCAAGGCCAAGGCAATCAGGAATCTGGAAACTAACCAAAGAATCCTTCATAAACAGGAGACCCTTTCTGGAATATAAATGCTTGCTTTGTGGGGACTGTTTCACAAGATCCCAGTTTCACTGTTTCAAGAGAACCCAATTTCCCTGTTTCATGAGATCCCAATTTCCCTGGCATGCTTGGTCTTCTTAAAGGCCCAGAAGGCCCCTGGGTTCAGAGAGAAAAGAACTTCTCTGGGCAAAATCCTGGACCCCCCTGGTAACCCATCCTGGGCAAAGCCTCACCACTGCCTGCAGTTTCTGACACAGTGAAGAGAACTAGGGCAAAGCTTCTGGAAACCTCCCCATCACACCCAGGGTCTCTGCCAGGCCAGCCCCTGCTGCAGACCTAAATTTACTGAGATTTAGACAGAAAAGTAGAAAACACAGAAAAGTAGGGGGGGGGGAACACAATTGCTGTTAAACTTTAGGTTTATTTCCATTCACTCATTTTTTTTCCATGCATGGGTTTTTATTTGTGTGCTGCATTTACACAGTTAATATCAAACTGGATTGGCACTTTGCTGTCAATATCCCATCTAATCTCTGCCCTCGACGTACCTACTATTCCTCAGCAGATATAACTACACAGAGTTCATGTTCTCTTCTTGGATGAAGAATATCTTTGGATGGAAACTACTTTGTCTCTTTTAGAAGATTTCTACAAATCAGATCAAGTAATTTTATTTCTGGGAAACTAGGAATATAAAAATCTTTAACAACTGTAATAAGTTTTGCTAATTATTTTCCCAATCACATTTGTATAAGTGTATCCATTCCACATGTGGCAAAGGAAGGAGATGACTGTTACCACATCCTCCTCATCATCTCTGCTACTTTAATAGATATGAAAAACAGCATCTCTTTCAATTTGCATCTCTCTGATTCATAGTGAGACTGCACTTTTGTTTGCATTTTTAAAAAGATTTTATTTTATTTTTTTTTTGCGTAGAATAATTGGGGCACAGGCCAGAGGTGCAGGGGGTGAGAGGACTCACCAGACACAGAGTGGGGAGCAGAGCAGGCAGAATGATTGAAACACACTGCTGAGGGAGCAGCTGGCGAGACAGGGGAGGTCTGCTGCGCCATGTGGGTCAGCTCCCTGGCTGGGGATCGAACTCAGGCTGCAGCAATGGGCCATTGTGGTGGTAACACTGAGACCTAACCCCTAGACCACTAGGGAGGCCCTTGTTTGCACATTCTGGTTTATCAGTGGAATGCTCTCCAATATCCAACCAGTTTCCTGTCAAGGCTACACTAGGAAAATTTCTCCCCATTTTTACAGACTCATTTCAAGATGTCATGCCTTACCTGGGCTATTAGGATTGTTGTTTTTTAGAAAAAAAAACACACAGTTATCCTTTGTGACATGCCTCCAGCTGACAGACTGCAGATGCCTCCCTACTGCCTGTCACTAACCCAACTCTTTGGCCTGGTCTCTTCCTTGCCCAGCCTTCCCTGCCAGTCTCCCCCTGCCACCTCCACTGTGTGCAGCCCCCCTGCACGCTCATCCTCATCTTGCTGCTCTGCCCTTCCACTCCGTTGCAGTATGTTTCTATCTTTTTTTTTTTTAAAGATTTATGTATTTATTTATACAAGCACTGGGTACAGTCAGAAGCGAGGGAGAGTGAGAGAATTCACCAGACCCAGAGTGGGGAGCAGAGCAGGCAGAAGGACCGAAGTACACTGCTGAGGGGAGCAGCGGGCGGCAGGAGAGGTCTGCATGCTATGTGGGACCCTCGCCCAGCGGCCGGGGATCCAACCAGCGCTGCAGAGGCTGCGGGCAGCTTCACAGCCCAGCGCTCAACCGCTGCACCTCCTCTGCCAGTATTTTTACCCGCTGAGACTGAGCGGACCCTCTCCAGTGCCCTGTCCAAGGTGCTGGAGACCAGCATTCAACCAGACTAGTCCCTGACTCAGTCTCCTCATTGGGAGCAGACAGAAGACACAAATGTTTTCTGATTAATTAAGACTCGTTTGGCTTCAAAGAACAAGAGCCCACTCAAAGTGCCTCAAGCAAAGAGCTGCTTATTGGAAGGATACAGGATTTCTCAGAACTCAAAGGCAAGCAGCCCAGACGGGGCTCTTGGGAATAGGACGGTAGCTCTCAGAAAGCAAAGCCGCCCTCTCCGCCTCTCCAGTCTCTCGTGACCGTGTATCCACTTCCTCTCCTGCCTACCCCATGCCAGCTGCCTCTCTGCAGACTCATTCTGCTCTTGGCCCATCACAGCCAACTATACCGCGTGGCCTCTTGCCCGGGGTCACCACCCGTGGGCCATGGTCCCCATGCACACGCCATTCAGAATCTCAAGAGAGAGGATGTACTTGGCTTAGATTCACCACATGGGGTCAGGGTCCTGTCAGCAGTTGTTGGGAAGCCCTGACCCCTTCACTTCCTGGTTCAACTAGCTGTGACCGGAGATGCAGCGGGGGCAAATCAGGTCACAGGGCACAAGAGGGTGTCAGATCTGGATTATAACAAGATCCCTGGGCTCTCGTGTGTATTAAAGCTGAAAGGCAACGCTCTTGGGCGTAGTTCTCAGAGGGACCTGCTCTGGCTGCAGCGGCACCAGGGACCTGTCAGACATGCAGCATGTGAGGCCATGCCCGGGGTCTGGAGACCTGGAAGGTGTTGACCTGCACACAGGTGCTCAAAGTCAGCCCCATCCCTGAGCCCTCTGCTTTCCACGGAGAAAACTCTAACCTCCTTTCCATGGTGAAGAGCCAGTGTCCTGCTCTCCACTTGTCGCCTGGGGCTGGCAGAGATGCCCCCACTAAGCCATGTGCACGGATGCAGCACACTGGTGGTGGGCTATGCCTGTCAGAGGCTCCTAACTACACCAACAAGGTCACATCCACAGGCCTTAGGAGGACATATATTTCAGGGGCAGCACACTGACCACACTGCACCACCCTACCTGCCAAATGTTTGAGACAAGACTAGGGGCATGTGGGGGGGGTCCCTGCCCCATCTCCATCTTTATCTAGAGTAATCACCAACGATGGCTGACTCACCCCATATTAGCCACAGAGAGAGAATATCAGAGAAACAAGGAGCAGTCCCTCGTCTCAAGGGACTGATGGCTGGGTGGGACCAGACAGCCAAGAGGGGTGCTACCCTGCACCCCTGCCCATGGCACCCTGACCACCATCTCCTGTCAATTTCAGAGCTGTAGGACAAGAAAATGCCCAGCGAGGGGGGCGGGGCATCCTGCCAGCATCAGGGTTTGCAGGCCCCAGTGCTCCCGGATCGCAAGCTCTCCCTTCTGCAGCTCCCATTCTGCCAGCGCAGGTTTTACAATTGCCAGGATGGCAATTAAGGAGATGATCAGCCAAATGGTATGTTTTGGACCCCAGCTGCCGGCATTCTGTGAGGCCCATCTCAGGGCCAAGAGAGATGAGACTTTGCAGAAAGTGTCCAGAAGAGCCCCCTCCCAGACCACCGCTGACGCTGTAGCCCTGCCGTGAGGAGTGAGGAGAGGGGTGCAGGGCTCCCACCCCACTGTGCTTCTCTGCTGGGGCTCCTGCTGACAGGAGCCCCTAAGCAGACTGGGGGAAAAAGAAGTAAGTAAGAGCTGAGCACTGAGCACAGGTGTTGAAGTGGAGAGAGGCAATTCGGGGAGACCTGTGTTCTCGTCCCCTTTCAGCCACAGTCAGCTGCATGAGCTGGGACATGTTCTTAAAGAACAACCCTCTACAAGTCATTAGATAAAGGCAGGCAGTCCAAGAGGGGGGGAAATGGGCAAAGAATTTGAACAGGCATTTACAGAAGAAATACAGATGGCAAAAAAAAAAAAAAAAAAAAAAAAACCACGAGATGTTCAATCTCTCTAGGAATAAGGGAAGGAAAATGTAAAAGAATCAGGACATGAGTGGGGAAACTGGTGCTACTTGAATATATTGGTGCTGTTAGTCTTAGTGTGGATCACTGTGTTCTGGTTATACAAGTGCTGGCATTAAGAGGAGCTGGGTGGGACACAGAAACATTAATTCAAAAGAGCACCTGCACCCCTATGTTTATAGCAGCACTGTTTACAATAGCTAAGCTTTGGAAACAGCCCAAATGCCCCAAAATA